TTCTATGGAGGCATTATAATAATTTTGATCGGTTCTTGAAGATGGTCTTGTGCAAACACTTGGTGAGTTTTGTTGTGGAAACAATAATAATAAGTGAATACTTTATTAAAGCGAATAGTAATATACAGATATAATGTATAATGTGATTGGGATTCCATTTCATCACTTGTCACAAGTAGGTCAATGGTAAGGATTAGATGATGTACTTGAAAATTAGATTTCATAATTCCATGATATAATATTTATGCTAATGACCGTTATAATTTAAGCATAATGTTTGTTATTTTTTGTTTTTACTTTATTTTCTTTTATTTTAATTGGATTTGATAAACCTATTTCATTAATATATTTAACAAAGTAATTATTATACACAGCTTGAATAACTGTTTGTGTACCTGTACAGTAGTGTGCTGAATTTGTGATGTGCAGCCTGAGAGTCACCTTAACAGACTACGTTATTTAAACTTGCACAAAACACCTCATTTAAACTTATCACAGAACAAAAATTTAAGAATACATCAACTTCATGTGATGGAATTTGGTGCTATTATATAATCGTTTGTTTTATTTACATGGTAATTCACTTAACATATTTATATTAATATTTTACAGTATTTTCAAGCCTTGAAACTTGTTTAACAACATTTAAATCTATCCTGAACATCTTTGTTTCCTGACTTCATCTGAACTGGATCAAAAAGTACTAAGAAGTTTCAAAAGCTCAAGATTGTCAAAATCGGTAAGTTAATAGATTCTAAAAACCAAATGTTCAGGCGAGACTTTTTTTATACCTTCTTTATCGAACCCGCCTACTGCAAATATTGATATTTTAAAAATAAAAATAAAATTTTATTTTTGAGCAATTATTGCACCCACCACCACAAAAAAAAAAATGGAAATTGCAGTAAAAAATTAGTTTAAAATTTTAATTATGCCCTCCACTGCCTTGACATCTTCAAAGATATACATATTTATATAAATTTTAAATATTTAACCATCCTACTTTACATTCACCAATAAAATTGTATATTTATTTTTCCCTCCGTCTGGATGTTTTAGGCAGACTGTTTGCTGAATAAAAAAACTAAATTTTATCCTTATTTTTATTCTGCCCTCCTCCGATGATCTTTTAAGAATAAGTATGCGAAACAAGGTATAAAGAAGTCTCACCTTAGCTACTGATAAAATAATATCTATGTAACATAACAATGTTTAGGATTAATGTGTGGATATAAGTACTAATTGTTACTTTATTATTCGTAAAACCCAATCTGTTTAGCTTCTATAAATATATATTGAATTATAGGATGATACTC